AAAATTTCTAAAAATTTTTGCCTATGTAGTACAAAAAGAAAAAAGATACTTTGCAGATTATTTTCACAAAAGCTATTCTGAAAAGGTATTTTTACTATGTAAACTTAACTTGGTATCTTAAGTAAAGTTGTAGATTAAGTCTTTACAATTCTAATATATATTGAAATATTAAAATTAGTTTACTAGGGAGCAAGATATAATAATTTTTGTAAATCACTAAAACTATATTTCTCTTTTTTTTTTGAGAGCTTCTTTAAGAAAACATTTTGAAAATGTTAATAGAATCATTCAGAGCTATTTTGTGTGTTAGAAAAGCATTTTTATACTATGATATACTATAATTAAAGTTGTAGATAAGGTTCTTTTGAGTAGAATAGTATATGTTTTTTTTATTTTTTTATTTTTTTATTTTTTATAACTTGAGTGATCTTGCTCATTACTTTTATTAAGAAAAGCTTATAAAAAGCATAAGACTAATCTAAAATATAAAGTATATAAATTAAATTCTTCTAAATTTAATTCAGACTAACTCAGCTACTTCAAGGGTATTCAAGTTCGATCTGCTGCAAAAGCTCATTTTCTTCTAAAAACCTTGATCTGTATAGACAGATTCCTTAGAATTTGATCAATGATGGTGACTTCTAGCCTATAATCAAGATCTTAGGTTTCTTCCAATCTAATTTATACTAAGCTAAAAGTAGTTAACACCTAGTCTCAAGATATAAAAAATTTAAAAATTATTATATATAATAGAATGCAACTACATATTATATGAACGTAACTTATAAAGGAAAATTCACTATCGAATTAAAAAACTCTTATAAGTGAAAGAAAAATAAAAAAGAAAAGAAAAAAGAGAGTCTTTCTTCTTAACATAAAAAAAAAAAGAGAAACAAAAAGTAAAAATATTATATTATGCAAAAACAAGAATGCATATCTCTATTATTCAAAATAACTCATCTAGATATTAAATCCTAATTAGATTATCCACGTGATAGTGATATATATATTTGTTGTCTTGTCTAAGTTACATATCAATAGATGATTTGCCAAATTAGAAAGTAGTACAAACTTGCTGATCCTTTGTCAGGAGTTTACCAAATCTTCTACTTTTTATTATTTTTCGATAAAAAAAAATCTAAAGGACTCAAAGAGGAGAGAAAACAATACTAAAAGGAAATTTAAAGAAGGAAATATACTAGACCCAGTTCTGGTATTATAGTTGGAGCTTCATACCTTATTTTTATAACTTCTTTCTTCTTCTTATTTTGTTTTAATTCATAGATGATACTTCATACATATATATAAGTTTTTATATACACACTTCACCAAGAAAGAGCCTCTTACAACTAGACTTGTACCACTTATGACTAGACTTTTATACTTGTACTGATTAAAATATATAGTCTACTAGATGAATATTAGAGATACTACTAGACTTCTAAGATAAAAACAAAATTTTCATTTGCTCTGATATTGGTGTTGATGATCGATAAAAAGAGTTATATTAACTATTAATTGAGAATAGTATATGTTTTATCTTCTTATATTTAGTATTCACAGAAATATTAGTAAAATATAATATGCAATTATAAATTATTCTTGAAGAAGTTTCTTTTTGAATTTTTATTTAGGGCTTGAGATGTACTATAATTCTAATAGTTTATCTGTATATTCTTTATTTGTTTCTACTTATATAAATAGTAAAGTTTCTAGAAGTCTTGTTTTTTCAAATAGTCATAGGTATAATTTTTTTTAAGTCTCAATATACTTTTATAAAAATTATATTATATCAATTTGGTATTTCTATATTTAGAGAATTATATTTCATTTTTTATATAACATAGATTGTTGTTAGAATACTATAGGTCTTTCTTAGAGTTTTTGTAATATAAGTTAGAATTATTAAAGAAATTAAAAAAGAGACTTCTTTAGTTTTGAGGATTATTAAAGGAGAAAAAGAAAAACTTCTTTTAGTGAAAGAGAGGTTATTTCTAGAAGAGTTTTTTTTGTATTTTCTGTCAGAAAATTTTGGTATTTCCATTAGAAGGTACTAAAATATTACAAGTAGTATAGCTTTCTTAATATACCTCAAGTAACATAAGATACAGAAGAGGGACTCCTAATGATATCAAAGTAGAATATTACATCACTATAGCAGTTCATTAGTAAAGTTTATTTTTAAAGCCAAAAGATTATATTTATTAAAGAACTAGTAGAGAACTTAGAACTTTATTGAGTATTATATTTTTGATTACAAGACTAATTTTACAGAAAAGAAAAAAGAAGAGTTTATATAGCTTTTTATAACTAGTAATAAGAATGATAAGAATAATAAGAACTATAAGAACAGTAAGAACAGTAAAAATAGTAAGAATAGTAAGAATAGTAAGAATAATAAGAATAGTAAAAATAATAAAAATAGTAAAAATAGTAAAATAATTATAGTTGTTCTTAAGACAACTCAAAAACTAAGAGTTCTACAGTTATAAATTATAGTTTATTTGAAAGATCTAATCAAGCTAAATTTAATGATAAAATCTAAATCTAACTTAAGCTAATAAGTTATTAAAAAATAATAATAACTGAATCTATATATAATAATATAAAAGTATAATAATTAAGAAAAATGCTAAAACTTATTTTGTAATAATAGTATAAATTAGTTAAACAGAATATTTAAATAGATAGCTTATAAGTAGATTAAATATATAGCAATTTGTAGAACTAATCAAATAATCTACATGTATAGTAAATTATTTAAATAGAAATAATTAATAGAATATTATTTATATATAATGCTATATATTAAACTAATAAAATTTACTAAGCAATATAAGATACTTTAGTAACAATAAAAATAATAATAAAGGTCTAGTGATCTTAATGTAATAATTAGATTATCAAACTATTATATAAGAGATCTAAGATTCAAATTCTACTATTAATAAATTTGAATAATTATTCAGATCTTTGTATTTAATTTATAGTAAACTCTATTTGTTTCTGAAGACTATTACTTTATAAATCATATTGCACTAATATTAATTAGATATTAGAAGTAAATACAATATTAGAGTTATATTATATAAATAAATATTAATAGGATTTATAAGCAGAGAACTTGCATAGTAGAAATCCTAAGTTTAGTAAAGTAGTATAGATTTTAATAGTTATATCAGTTAATATTTGATCTAGTAAAAAAATCTGTATATAAAAGATATAGATTGAGTAGGTATAAATAAGTCTGTTATATAATATAGCCTAGTACTTTGCATAAGTAACAACACTAACTTGACTTGATAGCTAACTAAATTAAGAAGATCTACTTCATAAAATATCTAGCTAAAATTTTAAAGAACTATTCTAATAAAGAGCTATAGTAAGAACTAGATTTGTATGAATATTAATAAGAGTTTAATTTAGATAAATTTGTGAAATAAGCATATAACTACTTTAGTAAAAATTATTTCTAAGGTTAATTAGAACTTTGTATATTCATAATATATTAGGTAATATGTATCTTGAGAAGATCTAAGTTATGTAGTAAATAAATCTACAAACAAGTTAGCTAGTTTAAGTAATTATATATAGTAGTGATATTAGTTTGAAATGAAGAAAAGAGTTAATAATTAGAGTGTTTAAATAGATAACTCACAGGTAGATTGCAGGTATAATAGTATAGTATAGAAATAATAGATAACTTATTATCTGTATAGCAAACTACTTAAATTAGATAATAAATAAAATTGTATATATAGCTTATTATATATCTATTATGTAACTATAAAACTTTAAAAAGTTACTACTATAGTAACTTTTGTAATAACAAATTAATAAAATTTAATTGACCAAAGAAGTAGTCTTAATAATAATAAAAAATAATAATAAAAATAATAATAATAATAATAAATAAAAAAAGATAAAAAATAAAATAAAAGTCTAGTAATCTTAAAGTAGTAATTAGATTGCTAGATTACTATACAAGAGATCTGAAATTTAAATCCTACTATTGATAAATTTGAATAATTATCTGGATCTTTATACTCAACTTATCGTAAACTCTATTTATTTCTAGAAGTTACAATTCTATAAATTATATTGTATTAATATTAATTAGATATTAGAAGTATAATATAATATTCAAGTTATATTATATAAATAAATTTTAATAAGATCTATAAACAAAGGATCTGTATAGTAGAAATCCTAAGTTTAATAAAGTAGTACAGATTTTAATAATTATGCAAGTTAATATTCGATCTAATAACAAAATCTGTATATAAAAGATGTATATTAAGTAAGTACAAATAAGTCTGCTATATAATACAACTTAGTGCTTTATATTAGTAGCAATACCAACTTGGCTTAGTAACTAACTAGATTAAAAAAATCTACTTTATAAAATATCTAGCTAGAATCTTAAAGAACTGATCTGGTAGAGAGTTATAGCAAGAACTAGATTTGTACAAATATCAATAAGAGTTTAATCTATATGAATTTGTAAAATAGATATATATAAGCAGTTAGATATTATAATAATATTAGTTTGTAATAGTATAAATTAGTTGAATAGAGTGTTTAAATAAGTAATTCACAGACAGATTACAAGTATAATAGCATAGTATAGTACTAATAGGTAGTCTAATTTCTGTATAGTAAACTATTTAAATTAGATAATAACTAAAGTTGTACATATAACTTGAAGCTATATTATTAATTACTTGATTTTTTTTTATTAGAACCTTATCCTCTTCTTTCAGATTTAATATATAACTGATCAGGTTCTCTATATATAAATTCAATTTTTTTGACCTTTTTTTCTTTTAAAAAATCATCTGATTTTTGACAATTCTCTTGTTGTATACTCTTTATATATTTATAAACTATAAAAGATTATCTATATATAATCTTATATATCAAACTAATAAAATTTACATAGCAATATAAGCTACCTTAATAATAAAAAAAAAATATTTATTATATTATTAATATTAAGATTATATTTTCTATTAATATCAAAATAAAGAGTTTAACTAGTCAAAAAACTCTCTTTATCGATCACTCTGACCAAACTTGAAGCAGAAAGAAAAACAAAGAAAACACAAAATTTCTACTAAGAACAAGCATTAAAGCTACTAAATAAAAGAAAGCAGAAGAGAAAAATACATATAGTTAAATAGAAGAACAGAAGAAAAGCTAAAAGAAAATAGAAATATTGAAGAACTTTTGACTTTAGAATAAATATTGAAAGTTTGTTTTAGAAATTTGAGAAATTAAACAAACTCTGAGATGCAGATCATTTGACATAGTACAAATACATACAAATTAAGATAAACAAAATGTATCATAAGTAAATTTATATGTCACATGCTTAACAGTAGAAACAATATATACAAGACCAAAACCAGACAGCTTACTAGTAATTAGAAAAAGTTATAGAGAATTAACAAAAAAAGATGAGATCACTTTACAAATAGAATATAGAGCTAGGAAGTATGTAGAATAGAGCTAAAGTAACAAAATTAGTTAAAATAGTTACAAAAAAATATGGCAAAGAAATAATAGCTAAAGAAAGTAATGCTGTAATAGGTCTTGAAGACCATATAGATAAAAAGATTGCAGAAATTTTAGAAGTAGATAGTAATATAGTAACAGTAGTGAGAGAATGAAGAAAAGTAATAGAAAGAGTAGTAATAACAGAAGAAATCAATAAAGTAAAAATAGTATTAGGACAAAAAATCTAAGATACAATAGTAAGAGGAGATGAACTAACAATACAAGAGAGAGAGAGTAAATCAGATATAGAAATAGCAAACTAAACAAATCCTACAAAGATAGATGATAGTACAGAAGAAGAACAAGCTTTTCTAGAAAATCAACTTCTGGTAAGTAAAAAAAGTAAAGAAGATTGCAGCCTTATAGAAGATATTAAAGAAATCTAAGATAAAAAGATTCTTAGACCAAATACAAATTTCTACTTAGACATTACAGAAGAATCAGAAGATGATCTGATACTAGCTGAGTCTAATTTCTTTCTTGAGAAAAACATATGGATACTAAGTAAAGATAGATGTGAAGAAAAAAAAATATAAAAGCAAAAATAGCAGCTATTAAAGTACTTGGAGATAATGCAAGTCATAGAAAAAAATCTCTAAGGTGGTCAATTAGAAGAAATATTCATCTCAAAGAAATATCTGAGAAATTTGAGCAAAGTAATTTATGGTGTACTCTTATCTTTAACTATAAAAAAGGCTATGAAGAGACTAAAAAAAAACTAGAAAGTAAGAAAGAAGAATACAAGCAAGCTAAATTAATTTGTAAAGACAATATAGAGGAAAACAAAGCTACTTAACCTCTAGATAGTCAAAATAGAGAGAGTATTATTACAGATACAAGAAAAAAAATAGAAGAACAGGTGAAAGTAGAGTTAGAAGAAGTTCTAACAAGAAGGAAAAAAAGAGATATAATTACTTCAGATCAATATGAATATGCAAGTATAGAAAATTCTATAGCCTAGCAAAACTTTAGCAGCTCAAATGAAACCAAAGAGAAAAACAAGATAACAGTTTAAGACTTGCCAAACAGAGCAAAAAGAACTTAAGTTTTTAAGATAGTTCAGTTTATAGGAAGAGTAGAATATATAGAGATGATCAAAAGTACACATGACAAAACAAGAGCAGAGATTAAGTTTAAAGCAGGCATCTATGATGAAAAGAGAATAAATAAGACTTGGTGTTTGCTTTTCATAAATCAGGTATTAGTAAGAGTAACAGTAGGAACTAATAATTTTGAATTACTTCACACAAGAAACAGATTTAGCAAAAGACTACTAGACCTATTAGAAAACACAAATGAAGTACTGCTCTAGAGACAAGTCAAGAATTCTGAAGCCAAAGCATTATATATTTTTTAAAATACTAATAATAATAATATGAGTAGTATGACAGTATACTTTAAAAATTAAGAAGATATGATAAATACCTTTAGATTTTTGATGTATTACTATAACAACAAGCTAAGATAGGCAAATATATGAGACCAAGAAGTGGAGTTACTAAAAGATCAGAGAGCTAAAGCCTTTAAAGAAAATGAAGTAGTTATCAAAAGAAGTAAAAAGAGCTTAAAAAAAAGAAGAAACTTCAAACAAGAATAAGAAGGCAAATACTCAAAATATATACAAGAAAGAGTACAAAGAAAAAAAAGTCATCAGCAAGAGGCTTTGATTAGTTTAGCACTAAAAGAGTATAAAAAAAACTAGAAGATATATAGAAGAGCTTAGATTATATCAAATGATAGTGAAGAGAAAAGGTCTAAAACAGAAACAAAAAGTAGTATTTAAAAGAAAATGAGAAGTAACGAGAGAGAAAATCTAAATAGACAAAGCTATTATATAAATCATAACAAGTCTCTAGATATATAGCTTAATTAATGCAAAACTTGAAAGGAAAAATTAGAGATTTGAAGGATAAACTTCCAAATCACTTCTAACTTATGCATCAGTTGAATTAAAAAAAGCTTTACTTGTACGAGAAAGGAAACTTGTATAAGGAAACAAGGCAAGGCAAGAGATAAACTAGACCAAAGAGAGTACTAGTGCAAGTAAAAAAATCATAAGCGTAATAGAGATTAGGAAAAAGATTAAAATAGCAGCACATAATATTAATAGTTTGAAAAGCAATAGATATAAGTTAGACATACTAATAAATAAATTTAAAGAAGATAACTACAATATAGTAGAGGTAATAGAAACAAATATCACAAAAAAAAAAGGCCAGTATATAGCTAAAACTCAAGGAAATATATATAGCTTTTGGTCTAATACAGAAAAAGGCAAAAGCAAAAGTTCAGAAGTAGGTATAATTATAAGTGAAAGATAGTCTAAATATATAAAACAAATTAGAAAACATAGTGGCTATTTGCTAAAGATATACTGTATTTATCTGACATATATACTCTCCTATGAGATGTACCCTACAGCATTTTGAAGTCCAATTTTTTGTTTATACTCAGGTATTATATCTGTATAATATACCCTGTAGCAATTGAATACCAATTTTTGATTTATACTCGAGTACTACTTATAGATTGGTTAAAAAAAATTTTTAAATTTTAATTTTTATAATTTAGCTAAATAAATTCAGATTTTAGATCTGCTAATCTGTGCGTTATAACATCATTACGATTTATTGAAATTGAGCCTAAATTATAGTAGCTTGTAAAAAAGTGATTTCATATAATGATAGTTGAAAATTTCTAAGATTCTAAATTTCTATCATCAATTAGTAACATCTATATTTATTTGAAATCTTGGGAGAATTAAAAAATCTGCTAAGATCAGCCAATTTTCACGATTTACAGGTCACACTTTTTTGCAAACCACTATACTAATTATGTTCAATATATTGTATCAAAAATTTAGAGAAGTGTAAAAAGTCAAAGCAATGAATTTAATAAATTAATTGAACTAATTTCAAATTTTGAATTTATTTCTTAAATCTAGCTGCTTTATTATAGAATCAAATTTGATTATCATAAACTACAATATGCAGATATAAAATTAGAAGAAAAAAAAAAACAAAAATCAAACTCTATTATTATTCCCAAACATTATTAACTTCGACTTCTTCATATTTATCTCTATTAATATTATCAAAAGTCAATACTTCTTTAGTATTTTCATTACTTGCATTCTCCTCATCCAACAATTCGTAATCAAAGACTAAATCATCTTCTGACCCATTCATTTCTACTGAGATATCATAGTAATTAAATGCACTTTGAATTAAACAAGGACTAATTTTATCTCAAGATTCTTTTACTCATAGAGCTAACATGGCATATGATGGCTTTCAGATATATCCAGCAGGCATTAATTGATGAATTGAATTGACTATCCATTTATTGTAATGGCAATGCACCTTGATAAAGTTTAGGGTTATTAATATGCTTAATTTAAAAAAAAAAGGTTTGTTTTAATATACCTGATGCTTGAAGCTTTTGTTAATCATGACATCAAGGGGCTATAATTTACTAGTTATTCTACGTGAAATAACTACAAGATCAGTATTTTTTTCATTAAACCAGTGCTTAACAGAGTCTACTAAGTGACCTCTAAAGGCATCTAAAACAAGAAGAGATTGTGGATTTCCTAATAGATTATACTTGGTCTAAAAATTATCAATTCAATTATACATTACAAGCTCATTATACTATCCTTTTTTGTTTACTCTAATGATAATACCTGGAGGGAAGACTTCACGAAGAACATTTTTCAACTTAAAAATACATACAGGTAGAAGTTTTGTTCCATCTGCAAGACACCTGAGGATCACAGTAAAGCATGCTTTTTCATGCCTGGTGGTTCTGATACTTACTGTCTTTGCTTTATATTTTTAAGGGTTACTAGATTAGATATATCGAACGCCAAAGATGTTTTATCCATGTTACCAATATATCTAACAGAATAGTTATACTGATTACATTTGAACAAAATCAAACTAAAGAATTTACTTTGTTTTTCAGCTAGGGCTACTAGAAGATGTTGTGCAACTGTTGTACATCTACAGTTTGAAAGATCATTACAACATAAGAACTGACTTAACTAGGAAATAGAAAATTTAAAGCTAGCGATGTTAGAATAAGCATTTTTAATTTCATCAGTCTGGGCCAAAGTCTTAGCCTTTCTAACTACTATATTTCTAGTAATAGCATATTGCATATTACAATACTCTTCGATTCAATCTATTAAGTTTTCTTTCAACAAGAGGTACTATGCTTGCTGACTACAATTGAGTGTTAAAGCATACGGTGCTACATTCAGAAGTTCTTTCTTTTTGTTATGCCATTCATAGACTTGTTTTGGTTTGATTTCAAAGTGTTTCGCAGTTTCCTTCATACTATTAATATGCTCCAAATAGAAGATAACTATAAGTTTTTCTTTAACACTCTATGAACAATGACTTTTATTAGTAACACAGATACGTTTCATAATATTTTTTTTTGAAGGCATCCTTGTTTTAAAAAGGTTTGAAAGTTTTTGTTCTATGTATTGTTCTTTGAATTATATATATTATAAAACAATTCTTGGTTCAGAAAAATCTATTTATCTACCTTATATATACATGTGAAAAAAAAATTTATAAAAAAAAAATCAAGTACATGTGGAAAAAAAAACTTGAGTACATGTAAAAAAAAAAAGTTTGAGCACATATAAAAAAAAAATAAACGAAAAAAAATTAAGGCCCACTCGTCCTTATAAACGTTAAAGGAGTTAGAAGATATCTTAAAAGGTAAAAGTTCAGTAGTACGTGTATTTTTATTCGTGAAGAAATTTTAATTTTGTTTTAGGAACGTATGTAAAGAAAAAAATTTTGAATACATATGAATAAAAAAAAATTAAACACATGTAAAGAAAAAAAAATTTTAAACACACAAAAAAAAAATTCTGGAGATGCCTTACTTTAAAAGTAAAGTTTAGCAGCATGTGTATTGTAGAATTCAGGCTCAAAAAAGCCTACTCATCCACCCTTATACAAACAATATTTTAAAAAAGTTCATGAATATATTTTAATTATGTCTAGAGACACTCGTGTGAAGAAAAAAGACCTATAATTCTTATATGAAGTCAGGAGGTATCTTTCTTGAAAGAGAATTCAGCAGTATGTGTGTTATAGAAAATTCAGATTCAAAAAGCCCAACTATTCACTTTTATACTGTATGAATAAAAAAGGTGCATAAAAAATATTGAGTAATTTATATTTAAAAGCACATAGTTTATAAAAAAAAACTCTTAACAGTATGTTTAGAGGTATACGTGTTGCAAAAAAAAAAAAAAATCAGACTCACGAGGCCCAGAGGCCTACCCTTATATGAAAAGTTAAAAAAAAACATTAGCAAGTATCTTACTTGAAGAGGTATAATACTCAATTCTGAGTACTACCTCAATACTCCTTAGGCGAGTATTATTTTATTCAAGATCTTAAATTTTGATCAAACAAAATATATATTTTATTATAATAGGTGATTTTAACTATATCATATAGCCAAATATAGATAAGAGCAATAATATAAATAGCAACTTTAAAAAGCTACTTCTACATAGTTAGATGATGAAACAAAACTTTATTGACACTTTTAGAGAGCTATATCCTAGCAAAAGAGAATTTTCATAGAGTAATAGCAAGAATAGTATAAGAATAGACCAAATCTGGATTTCAGATAGTCTAATTTTTGGCTTTAAAGATATGCTAATTGAAGAAATAAAGCTAAAAACAGATAATGACCACAACCTAGTAGTAGCAGAAATACTATTAAACTATCTAGAGTTTAAAGATAAGTTGGCACAAGTCAAAAGAAAAGGTATAAAAAGAAAAATTTTTTTGTATAACAAAGCAATAGAGGAAAATTAGAATGATTACTAAAACAAGCTATAGGGCTTGCTTAAAAAAAAGCTGAATAAGAAGCTATAGTTAAGAGAATAACCTGAAAAAAGTAGCAAAGAATCTATAGATATTATAGATTTGAATAAAGAATGAGATATTATAAGCAACAGTATTAAATAAGCAGCAGAAGATAAAATTTCTCACAAGAAAGTACTAAACTCAGGTTGCAACAAAGCTCTAAAAAAAATCTACTCAGAATTGCAAACTGCAATAAACTTGATAAGAGAATTAGTTAAAGAATGCAAAAAAAAAAAGAGAACTAGTAAAACTGAAGAAAGACAATTAGAAATCGAGTAAGAAGTAAGGAAGATAAATAAAAAAACAAAGCTAAGTATAGTAATATTAGGAACTCTCTGGAGTGAGCAGCTACAAGAAGAGCTTACTAGATGGTTGTCAGTATTTAAAAGCAGACTAGTAGCAGAAAACAGTTTAGTAAGCAAATTAGAAATAAGAGAACATGTAGACTGCAGATGCAAAATGATAAGAGATAACTAAAGATGAATGATAAATAGTCTGCTAGAAAATCCCTTCAAGAAAGTAGTAATCAATAAACTACTCTTAGATAAAAAAGGAGTTAAAGAGCTCTTTAATGAATCCAAAGAAGTCCTTTGAAGAACAGTTAAGTATTTTAAAAAGCAGTTCAAAAAAAGAGACTTCAAACAAGAAAAATTCTCATATAGTTAGAAAAAAGTATATAAACTAATAATGAGAATTAATGAAAGCTATTACAAAGATTTGAGCAGTAGAGTAACTGAAAAAAAATAGAACTCAATATTACAAAAGCTTAAAACAAGTATAGTACTAGGTTTATTAGGAATTAGATATATTCTGATCAAATAAGTAAGTGCAGAAACATAAGTAGTATTTAGAAATTTTACTAGTGAATATTTAAAAGCAAAAAGAATTCTATTTAAATAGAAAATTGAACAGATTTATCCAATACCTAAAGATGTAGACTAGCAGTATAACCTAAGCAATATAAGGCCAATAGTACTTTTAGAAACATTTAGAAAGTGTGTAACTAAAGTTTATATAACTAGGTTAGAAAGAATAATAAAAGAGAATAATATACTAGAAGAGTCAAACTTTAAAGGCTAGTAGGAAGCTCAACAAAAAGCCTAATTTATATCTTGAGCATGAAAATAGAAGAAGTGAAAGAAAAAGATAACATCAGGAAATTAATTTTAGTGTTGTTTTGCACAAATCTGCAAAAAATTAAATAATAAATTTAATAAAAATCTGTGTAAATCTTTGGGTCTGCTACTGACAGATGCAGAAATTAAATACAATTCTACACAAATCTGTAAATTTCCAAAATTTTGCAGATTTTTATCAAAAATTTTATAAAAATCTGCATTTTTTTTATATTTTTACAGATCTATGCAGATTTATACCTATTTTACTTTTCAGATGAAAGAGCTCTGGATCATGTTACAAGATATAAAAAAAGCATTTGACTTCATAAGTTTGAACTCTTTAAAACTAGTATTGCAAAAAATAAAAGTACTAGCAATAGAGCAGAATTTTATACTAAATTTGTTTGACATAGAGGTTGGAACTGGTTTTAATAATTCAGGTTTATCATGTGAATTTTGTAATATTTTAGAATTTATTAAAATTTAATTAGATTAAATTCTAAGGTCTAGCGATCTAGTGTAGTGGATAGGTTGTTGGACTATCATGCAAGAGGTTTGGGGTTCAAATCCTTCTGTCAACACTTTAAATAATTACTCAAATCTTGTATCTAACTTACGGTAAACTCTGTTCGTTTCTGGGGTTGTAACTCTGTAAATTACGTTGCACTAATATTGTCCAGATATTAGAAGTGTGACGGAATATTTGAGTTGCATTACACAAATAAATCGAGATAGGATCTATGAGCAGAGGACCTGCATGGTAAAAATCCTGAGTTAGATGAAGTAGTACAGATTTCAACGGTCATGCCAGTTAATGTTTGATCTGACAAAGATTTCTGAGTACAAAGATGTAGATCGAGTAGGTGCAAGTAAATCTGTGACATTGGGTATTATGGCAACACCAACTTGGCTTAGCAGCTAACTAGATTGGGAGGATCTTCTTCATGAAACATTCAGAAGAATACAGAAATCTAAACTGGTAGAGGGCCACGGCTGAAACTGGGTTTGTATGAACATTGAATAAGGGTATATGCAAGCTAGAATGGGAATATAATGTAGCATAGTTGGGTATTATGACACCTATCTGTTAGGAGGCGTTGAAGTAGGACTTATCAGATAAGACCTGGGCTCATAATAGTAAAGTTGTGACTAATGTCAGCTTGGGTGCCTCCCAATATGGAGTAGTACGGGGTTTGGGTTAACTATAAAGAGTAATACTTGTGGTAAGTGAGATAGGGCCAAAGAGTTTAAATAGAGAATCTTCTAAGAGATTTCAGGTATGGCAGCTAGTGTAGAACCTTCAGGCGGACTACTTAAAATAGACAACCTAAATTGTATGTGTAGCTAGTTGTATTCTCACAATATGTATCACTTCTGAAATTTATGAAATTAATAAAAGTTAGCTGATAGCATTTGTATAAAGTAAAAAATTCTATGATGATCTCTTTCAAATAGTGCTAGAGTTGTTGATATAATGAATCCAATTGGAACTTCATTTTAAATATAAAGATATTTGAAAGCATTAATAAAGTTGATAAGGTTAGTTGTGAGTAACTTGGTTTCAGTAGCTAGTATTGATATTATATTAGTAAGAAGTCTATCAATAGATGAAGAGTTATAAGGACAAGTGAGCAGATATACTATTGTTTCAAGAGAAGATATATAGCATGCATATAGATAATTCTCATGTTTTGAGAAATTCTGTTAATAAAGTATTAGATGAGTTAGGAGTTCTTTAGTGATTATTTTTACTTTGAAATTCTTTAGTTTTGAGAATAGTGAATTAGTATGCTAAGATAGTAGTTATTTATTAAATAATAGGTAGTTTAATATGCTTGTCTAACAGATATCTTTGAATCTTTGAGCTCATAGCTGTATTCTATTTTGTTTTACTCAAATAGTATTGTTTATTATCTTTAGCAAGTGTTTAAGTATTATATGAGTATTGTATATATATGGTGTAGATAATAAACATAGTATATAATTATTATAGAAATACTTATAAAGAGTAATATCTAATTTAATTATATAATCTAGTTTGTTACTATATCTAAGATCCTTGTCTAGTAGTAGCATTAGGTTTAAAAAGATTATAATTGCTTTGGTTATAAGAAGTATATAGAGAAGTTTAGATTTTTCTAATAGACTGAGTTAATATAATAGGATGTTTTGAACTTCTTTGATTAATTTTAGTAAATTTGCATTGTTTGACATAACAGTTATATATGTATCTGAAAAGAAAGTTAATGCAAAGAAAGAAAGAATAGTTAGTAAAGCTTGTAACTAACTAGACTAGTTACTATTATAAATACTAATAG